AGCAGCCCTTTGCCACAGACAGAGAGCAGAGAGGTCTCAGCAACCTCTTCTCCTCCAAGGCTGGACAGTCCGAGAGCACCTCAGGCAAACCAAGACTTCTCACTCTGTCCAGAGGCTCCTCCTGACACAGGATTTTCCTCTTTCAGTTGAAGCTTGTCCTGTGCTCCCCACCTCAAACCTTCTCTTCCTCCCTGCAAGAGCCTTTTCCAGGCTGGCACTGAAGGGGGAAGGACCAGAACACCAACCCCACACTTCACTCCAGGCTCCCTTTCCACCAGCATCCAAGCAGCAAGAACACAAGACTCCCATTTTAAGAGCATTCCCGGGGCTGGGGTTAGGGATGTTGGACAGAAATAAACCCAGAAGCTGCATTTTGGCCACTTCCCTCAAAAATCCAGCTGAGGACATAGTAAAAAGCAACCCCCCGAGTGCTCTTGCTGCGTTATCTGTTCAAAATCACCCTCCCCCGGGGATTTGGAATCCCCATGATGATTTATGAGCAGCTCTGCACAACGCAGCAATCCCATGAAGTAAGCAACAAGGCGAGGAGCACCCACGTTAGCGGGTCAGCATCATTCGGGTCCTAGTTGAGAGGGGAGACCTTCCAGCTTGAGAAAGCCACTGCCCCTGTCTCTGCTTTTTCTCTTCCATTACTCAGTTCCTTTAGCTCCAAGCTGCGGCTCCAGCTATCCCCAGAGGAATTAAAAGAGCCCTCGATATTATAAATACTCTTTCTCATTGTAAACACGGCGCAGCACTCGGAGCGAACCGCTGGCGCTCCGACACGGCTCCAAACCGGTTCCAGAAACCACTCTGCTCCTTGCCACATTCCAGCTGAGCTTTCCCTTCCAAACCCAGAGCTTTTGTCCAGCGAGACCCAACTGCGGGCAGAAATGGTTTTTCTATGTGCTTAAAACCTTGTTCTAGCAAGTGAAAACCCAAGGGGTTTGGGGCAGCGAAGGAGCACCAAAGCCTTGCTGCAAACCGCACAGCCTGAGCCTGATGTGCCCACGTCAAAGAGAGTCACCAAAGGAACCAACCCATGGTTTGGACTTTCCCACAACATGGAAGAGTCGATGACTCCAGCAAAGGCCAACCCAGCCTCGGGGACACACCAGCCCTTCGCACGGTAGGGAAGGGCGGGGGAATGGCCAGGAAAGCAGTGATTTAGGCTATATTTACTCAGCTGTCTCCATTCCCTGCTCTCACAGACAAAGTCACAGGGCCAGTTCCCCAGTGGCTCCAAGAGCTGCTCAGGAAATAAAGGCCGTGCATGAATGGGGAGGAGACGCGGCCATTCCTGCGCTGCGCTGGGCTCGGGTGCCCACAGGCACAATGCTGGGGCCACTCCAGCTCTTGCAGAGCTCATTCCAGACAGGTTCCCCCTCCTCCCGGGTTTACTTCCCATTGGGAATACCTCAGTTTGGGAAGTACGGGACCACGGGAACCTTCCTCTTCAAGGGGCTCAGAACCATCCACAGCATCCCAAGAAACACAGCTCACAAACCGCACTGGAAAACGGTGGGCTGGCCACCATCCTACAGCCAGGGATCGGGGGCAACTGTGCCCAGAGACGGCAAAGCCACAGCCACGCCAGGCTGGATTCCAGCCGAGCGGGAGCATCCCTGCACCACCCGACCTGGGCAGAACCACGGTGGGATGAGGCCACATCCAAGCCCCCGGCCCAGCCTGGATCCCTGCAGCCCCGACAGGCAGCGCTGCCCGCAGCAATGGGGGCTGCACGGGGGAACGGCACCGAGGTCCCCGCGATGGGGATGGAGGCAGCCGGAGGGGGGGACACCCAAGGATGGGACAGGCCCAGCCCCGGCGCCTCGGGGCGGGGGGGGCAGGCCCCGGGGGGTGGCAGTGCCCCGGTAGCGGGCACCCTGCGCTGGCACCGCCGGGGGCTCTGCGAGGGCCGCCTCCCGATGAGGGGCCGCGCACCCCGCGCCGGTTCCCATCGCGCCTTCCCTCCCTCCTCCGGTCGCGGTCCCCCCGGTCCCGTCCCACCTCTCCGCCGGCCCCATCCGCCGCCGCCGCCCGGCTCCAGCCCGCTCCTGCCTCACAGCCCAGCGGCAGCCTGGGAAAGGACCCGAACGCCGCCGGAACGGCCCGAACCCGCCCCGGAAAAAGCCGAGAGGAGCTGGAGGGGAACGAACCTGCCCGAAGCCGAGGCGGCCCCGCCCCTTCCCCCGGCTGCCGAACGCGATCGGGACCACGCCCCTCGTCCGAGCTGCTCCGGAAGGAGCCGAGCGGGAGCCGGCACCAACCGGCTTTGGGCGCTGAGGGAGAGCGCGGCGGCGCCCCCTAGCGAAGGGTTGGGAGCGCGGATCGGGCCCGGCACCGGGATTGCACCGGGCACGGGGCACTGCACCGGGACTGCACCGGGCATAGCACTGCACATAGGGCATGGCACTGGGCACCGGGACTGCACCGGGCACGGGGCACTGCACCGGGACTGCATCGGGCATAGCACTGCACATACGGCATGTCACTGGGCATTGGGACTGCACCGGGCATGGGGCACTGCACCGGGCACCGAGACTGCACCGGGCACAGCACTGGCACCGAGACTGCACAGGCCATGGTGAATGGCACTGGGCACGGCACCGGGCATTGGGACTGCACTGGGCTTGGGGCACAGCACCGGGCACCGAGACTGCACCGGGCATGGGGCATGGCACCGGGACTGCACCGGGCTTGGCACTGGGCGTGAGGCACGGCATTGGGACTGCACCAGGCATAGCACTGCACATAGGGCATGGCACTGGGCATTGGGACTGCATCGGGCACGGGGCACTGCACCGGGCACCGAGACTGCACCAGCCATGGTGCACGGCAGTGGGCACAGCACTGGGCATTGGGACTGCACTGGGCTTGGGGCATGGCAGAGGGCACCGAGACTGCACCAGGCATGGGGCATGGAACCAGGACTGCATCGGGCATAGCACTGGACATAGGGCATGGCACCGGGCATTGGGACTGCACCCAGCATGGGGCACTGCACCGGGCACTGAGACTGCACCAGGCACAGCACCGGCACCAAGACTGCACAGGCCATGGTGAATGGCACCAGGCATGGCACTGGCTATTGGGACTGCACCGGGCATGGGGCACTGCACTGGCCATGGTGCACGGCACTGGGCATGGCACTGGGCATTGGGACTGCACAGGGCTTGGGGCACTGCACCGGGCACCAGGACTGCACCGGGCACGGGCCACGGCAGCGGGCACCAAGACTGCACGGGGCATGGGCACAGCACCAGGACTGCACCAGGCATAGCACTGGACATAGGGCACGGCACTGTGCATTGGGACTGCACCAGATGCTGGGCATGGGACACGGTGCTGGGCACTGGGACTGCAGTAGGCACGAGCAGTGCAGTGGGCACCAGGACTGCTCCGGGCATGGGGCATACTGGGCAGCATTGCCACGGACACAAGGCACTGCATTTGGCTCTGAGGTGGGCACTGGGCACTATACCCAGCACTGGTACCCATCGTCTGGTGCCGGCAACACCAAACCCGCGCCCCTAGGCTGCAGACACGACGTCAGGGCTCATTGCAAGAAACAATTTTAATACAACATAAACCTTGTTGAAGGTAAGAGCAGAGCTGGGCGCTGTGCAGAACACACGGTCCCCTCGGCTTTCGAGACAGTTTCCATTCAGGAATTCCTTTTCCCACTATATCCATGCCACTGGTGCACAGCCAAGCCCCCTTCCCACAGTGCTGGTGTGCAGGGGGTGCCTGATGTCTCCCCACATCCCCGCTGCCTTCCCAGACCTTTGTACAGACAATAGAGGAAGAAGCAAAGGAAAGACCGAGCCGCTCTGGCTGCTCATTTGTTGGCGTTAAAGGGCACCGGTTTAAACGGGAGAAACAGGAGACGGGACCTGGCACCAACCACAGGCACACAACATAATCCAACGCGCTGCTCCAGGGTAGGGAATGTGCCCGTTGGTGGCGGCACAGGGATGCCCGATGCCCAGCACCAGCACCAGGGCAGCAAACGGCAGCACGGAGGGGGGGGAAGCTGGAACATGCACTATCAAATGGGAACGTTTATATCATAGAAAACAGTAGAAATGGGAGGGAAAGGCCGGGTTGAGCCGTAGTTTTGTTGGATAAAAAGCGACAGGAGGGAAGGGGGGGGGGAATTCCAGATGCCAAATGAAGCAGCAGAACAGGCGCTGCCAGGAATACTGGCTTTTTATGGATATCTGTATGCACTGAGCGATGGCCACCACGGAACGTGGTGGTGGAAGAGATGCAAAGAGCAAAGCCAACCCTAAAAACCCCATTGAGATTTGCACCCGGTTGCTGCCCCCCAAGGGGAGGTCTCTGCTTTTCCCACCTGGAAGGGCTGATGGAGCTGGGGGGCTCCAAAAGGCTCTGAATAAACCAATTAAAACCTTTACATCCGCTCTCCTCTGATGAATAAACCATCTGCATCACTGCATGATGAACCCTATGCAAATAAAATCACCCCTCTGCATCCCAGCTGGGACTGCGACTACTGGGGAATGTCGCTGTGGGGTTGGCTTGGGCTTTTTCATTTAAACTCCTACAATTCTCCCACTCCCCCCCCCCCCCCCCCCCCCCCCCCCCCAACTGGGGTCTTTCCAGCTGAAACTGAAGTTAAAAAGTGGGGAAAAGCGAGCGGGTTAGAAAACAGCATGTGGTCAGGATGGGAACTGCATGGAAAAGCCTGGGACACACACATCCCCCCCCCTCGCCCTCCCCGGGGCCGTGTGGGACCCTGCGCCGGTCCTGCACTGCCCGTTTAGCTTATAAAAAGTAATAAATTAATTGAGGACTCTTTGCATCGAGTCTTTGCTGTACACAAAGGTCGGGGCCAGCAAAGCTCCCGCGTCTCTAGAAAAATAAGAGCATCTCTCGAGGGGTACAAAAAGCCTTCGGGGGAGCCCAAGTGCCAGGGCACAGCCACAGCCCGTCCGCGATGGCTCCAGGGATGTTCGCCATGGATACACCACAGGGGATGGGGATTTTCGGGAGGCGGTGGGATGCTGCAGGGATCCTGAACCCTCCTGGCGTGGGGGCTCAAGGGTGCTTGGTCCCGCTCCACGCGCTGCTCCGGGGTGCTGGGTGCTGAGCACCCAATGGCCCCTGGCCCCGCAGGGGTTGCCGGGGGCCGGTTGCTCCCTCTCTGCAGTTCCAGTGCTGCTGGGAGCCATGGTCCGGATGCTCGCATCCATCCCGCCACCGCAAGGTGATGCTGCTGTTGGGCTCCTCAGCATTGCGGATGGGGTAGGAGCCCTGGCATTCCCACTCGGCCACCGCCAGCTCCTGCTCGTCGCTCTCGGAGCCCTGCACCGCGATCTGTGGGACCGAGCTGGGCTTTGGCTTCTCGGTACCCACCCCCTGCCCGGCTTCGCCCTTGCCACCGTCTTCACTTGCCGACACCGCATCCGACTCATCAAAACTCACTTCTTGAACCGCTTCTTGCTTCTTGAAGGAGTCCCGGCGCTCCGAGAGGTTCAAGCGTCGCATGACCACCACCTCCTGGTCCCGGTCGTGCCTCTCCGCCAGCCGGGAGCTGGCAGCGGGGTGATAACCGTGCTCCCCGGGGTACCCCGGGGCTTCACCCTCCCCGATGGCCTCCCCATCCATGGTGGGCATCTCCAGCCCCAGCTTGCGGCCACTGCCGGTCTTCTTCTCCACCAGGATGGTGACAATCTCAGCTGACTGGACACGTTTGAGGAGCGGGGAGCGGGGGCAATCAGCACTGCGGGGCCGGGAGCTCTGCCGGACGATGGTGGGGGGGGACAGGGTCTTCCCTGGAAGGAATGAGGGGTTTTGGGGTACCCAGGGAGTGGAGATGGGGAGCGTTGGGGAGAAGGTGGGCGCTGGGCGGAGGAAGGGGTACAGGCGAGGGGCGATGGGGGGATGCTGCTGGTGGATTTGCGACGTCCCACTTTGTAGCGTTGCCCACCCAGTTTGGGTGCCAGCCCGTGCAGAGAGCTGGGGCGCACGTGGCCGGCGGGTGACGTTGGGGTGCTGGAGGAGGGAGAGGTGCTCTGTGGGGACACAGCATCTGCAGGACAAAGAGAAACAGGTCAGCGTGAGGGACGGCGATGGGGGGCACACGGCACCCACACCGCGCTGCCCCAGAGCAGATATCCCGTCTTGGATGAGGTGGGGTACCTGAGGGCAGGTCGGGAGCGGGGCTGCGGCAGGGAGTGGGGGGACCGGGGGACACGCTGTGTGTGGGGGACTCCGGAAGGCTCTCGCTGGAGGACAGCGAGTGATGGAGGCCCGAGGAGTAGCTGCGGCTGGTGTGCAGGACCGACGACTGCTTGGAGATCTTCTTGAAAAGGGATTTTCTCCTGGGGAGGGGACACACACAAAGGGGTGGTGGGGAAAGGAAGAAAGCTGGTGGCCCTGAGTCTGCCAAGCTGGACACCACAGTATGGCAGAGCCAGAGCAAACCCCCTCGGTACGGCACACACCAGGACAAAGGCCGTTTTATCCCAGCCCAATTCCACCCACCTCTCCTGGCCGTCCCTTTTCCTGCTCTTCTTACTCCTCCTCGCCATCCTGGTCTTGGAGCTGTTTTTCCGCGCGGGGCCGATTTTGATGGAGGTGTTCTCCAGGGCCGTGGTCCTCAGGGCCACTTTATTCCCACTCTGAGGGATGGGAAACGAATCACTGCAGCGCGCTGGATCCAAGCACCGGATCCAAACCAGCTCCTGCCTTGGCTGCTGGTGGAGGCAATGCCGGAGAGCTGCTGGATGGATGCACCGGTCCTGGGCAAGCAGCGTGGCTCTGGTCACCTACCTTCAGCAGCAGCTCCACGACGTCCCGATGGACTAAACCGAGCACTGACTCGCCATTCACATGAGTGATGAGGTCACCCGCTCTCAGCCCCGCTTCCTGCGCCGGGCTCCCCTCTTCCACGCTCTGCAAGCAAAAGACCAAGGTTTCATTTGGATGCAAAGCCTGAGTTTCCTCCCAGGGTTTTCCCATTGGGAAACCTGGTGCCTGGCGCTACCGGTCCCTCCCCACATACCCAGACCATGTGGTGCACGGTGTAGACGTCGCTGTCACCCATGTAGACGCGGATGGCGCGCAGGGTGAAGCCGTACTTCTTGCCCGAGCTGTGGATGATGATGGGGGGCCGCAGGCTGGCGATGGCCAGGGATGAATCTCGGCTCGGGGAGGAATCACGGGAAGAAGGGTTGGATGAGAGGGAGTGGGGGGAGATGGGGCTCATCAGGGCACCTCCACCGAAGTCATCTGCAAGCAGGAGAAGCCGGCTCAGCATCTGAAAAGCACTTGGCAACGGGCACCCGGCAGGATAGAGCATGCAGGGCACGGACCTGATGTGATGATGAGGGACAGGGCTGAGACAGAGGCGGATTTGGGGACGCGGCTGCCCGGCGAGGCTCTCTGTCTGTCCGGCACATCCTTCTGGCTGCTCAGCCGGCGGCTCCCGCCCGGCTCCCAGGCCCCGTGGAGCCGCCGTTTTGGTGCCGGTGCTGTTGCTTCGGAGGCGGATGTGGTTCAGGCTGACGAGGTCGGCTGTGGAGAAGGGAGGAGGGAGAATGTGGGGGTGTGGAAAAGCCACCCCAAGCCACGTGGGCACCTCGGTAGGTCCGGGAGCATTCCACACTGGCATCGCCCACCACACCAGATAACACTGACGGCTTCACCACACCACCAGTCCCTGCGTCAGGGTCTCCCAGCACAAACTTGGGTCTCTCCGGCTTGGAGGATGCCACGCAAGGACTTTCATCCTCCGAGGAGAAGGCAAACTTGGGCATGGTGTCCAGGCTGACGGTGCTGGGCAGCGCAGTGGGGCTGCGGCTCCGCTCCTGCCGGGAGGTGTACGGTGTGGAGCTGCAGGATGTCCAGGAGCGGAGCCTGCATGGGGACAGCAGGAGGGCTTGGGACAACCAGAGACGGGTGAGGGGGCCACCATCACCAACACCTCCGCAAGCCCTTGGTGCCAGCACAAACCCTCGGTGCCGGCACAAGCCCCTGGCACCGGTACAAGCCCGTATCAATGCTGCATCCCCCAATTCACCACGCACCGGGGTTCAGTGCCCGCCAGCCGGCTCTTGTCCTCATCTCCCGAGTGCCTGTCCTCCTTGTCCTCGTTGTGGCTCCGGTCGGAGGATGAGACGCTGAGGCTGGAGTTAACCGCCAGGAATTCGGAGCTGCTGTACACCTGAGGAGGAGACGAGCCGTCAGCAAGGAGCAGATTTGGGAATCCAGGCTCCCCGGCATCAGCCAAGACACCGATGCTCAGCACAGCTGTGCCGGCTGCAGTGCCAAAGCCTCTCCCTGCGGATGCCGGAGGAGGATTTGGAGCACCTTGCTGAAGCGATGGGAGCAGGAGGAGAACTGCCCGATCTCCACGGATGATTCCTCATCGTTGGTTTCTTCATCCTCTGAATCCAAGTGCTGGTACCTCTCAGAGCGAGCTGAAAACAAGAGCCAGAGCGGGCAGAGCTGGCACGCTGCCCGCAGCACACCGCGTCCTGCCTGACCCTGCTGGGACCTACAACCATGGGGAGCTGTACTGAGGCTGACAGCCCAGTCCCAGCTCTCTGGGGAGTTTTGGGGTGAGAAGGTTTTTGGTAAGACTGAGCAGCCTGCAAACAGGATTGCATCTGGTTTGTGACTTCAGTTGTGAGGGGACCAGCTTCACCCAGGAGTTTTCCACCTCCTCCATCCCACAGGAGCATCTGAACTGGGATAACGGATTGACAGAGCAGAGGGAAAAAGGGATGGATTTGGCCTCACTGTCAAAGTAGCTGGTGTCATCCTCCGACTCCAGCTGGGGGATGAACTCGGCCTTCTGCCGCAGCAGCCCGTTCCAGTCCAGGTGGAGGAAGAAGGAATGGTGCTTCACCTCATGTGCACCCCCTGCCAGGCAGAGAAACCCACGTCAGGGGGAGAGGGCAGGATCTGGGATGTTCCCACTCCCATCCCAAATGGCACCGTCTCTCCTCCATGCACAGCAAATGCCTTAAGCCAGGAGGGACCGGAGCCCTGTGCAGCCTTCTTGGGGTGAACCCCGAGCAGGAGACCTCCTCTGAGCATCCTCAACATGGCTTTGGTTTCAGCACAACCCCAGCTTGATCTAAATTGGGGTGCCCGGTCACCCCTCAAGTCCTACCCAGGCATTGCCATGCGTACCAGTGCCCAAGCGTTCGAGGGGACACTGTCTCAGCAAGCGGGTGATCAGGTCCTGGGCATCCGCAGGAAGAGCCTCATCCCCTTCTGGCCACATGATTTCATCTGCAAGGAAAAAGGAAAAGGAGTTTGGAGTGGCCGGAAGAGTTTGTGGGTTGCGATGATGTGAGGTTGCAGGAGAAGCTGCTTCCAGGCAAGAGGAAAGTCCCCCGGGAGCTGCAGCACATGAAATCCTGCTCCCAAAGCAGGAAAGCAAAGCTTGAGGAGCCTCTTTGCTGTTCAGCTGGGTATGAATGAAGGACTGAAGCTCTCTATGAGCTAAGGACGAGCCATGGCAGCTGGGAAGTGGGAATCACCAACACTCACCACTGATGACCTGCCCAAAGAGCTCCTCGGGGGTGTCTCCAAAGAAGGGGACGCAGCCCACCAGGAACTCGTAGAGGATGATGCCCATGGCCCACCAGTCAACGGGCTTCCCGTAGCCCTGGATGAGGATGACTTCTGGGGCAATGTACTCCGGAGTGCCACACACCTGCATGGGAATCAGTGGCTGACACCTCTCCAGTGACCTCTAGAGCAGGTCTCAAGGCTATCCCGGTCCTTAGCGACAGCAGAGTGGCCAAGTGGGGCAGAACCTCGTACCTGCTTGTCCATGAACTCCCGAGTGTCCTTCTCCATATGCCCTTCATAGAGGTTCGTGGTCATGTTCATCAAGCCGATCTTCGACAGACCGAAGTCTGTCAGCTTTATGTGGCCCATAGAGGTGATGAGCAAACTGCAAGAGAAGACGGACGCCCCACAATGATGCTGTTTGCTTCTGGGACCTGAGAAGGGCCAGCCAGACCCCAGGACTCCTGGTCCTGGTACAACAGCACAGAAGCAAGTATTTGGGCACCAAAACCTCATTCTGCCCTATCCCCTTGGCTTGGATCAGTGCCTTTCCCTTCCCCATCCAAACCCAACCCCATCCTTGCTCAGACCTGACACACATCCTCACTTGTCAGGTTTGAGGTCCCGGTGGACGATGCCGTAGTTGTGCAGATACTCCAGAGCGAGAACCGTCTCGGCAAAGTACATCTTGGCCATGTCAACGGGCAGCGGGCCCATGTTCTTCAGCAACGTGGCACAATCCCCCCCTGTGGGGACACACACAGGGGCTCAGAGGAGGCAGGGAGATCATCAGGCAGGGCTATGAAGCCTCTCCTGCCAAGCAGGCTCCCATTCAGGATCACAGAAGCATCTGCTCGTGCTTTCCAATCTGCTCCCTAGAGCAAAGCCCAGGTGGTGGCCTTGATGCTCGGACACTGATGCTCCCTGCACCAGCCAGCCCGGAATCCCGTCCTCCCTCACCTTCCACATACTCCATCACCATGCAGAGGTGCCGCTTCGTCTCGAAGGAGCAGAACATGCTGACCACAAAGGGGTTCTCTGCGAAGGTGAGGATGTCCCTTTCCACAAACACCTGCTGGATCTGGTTCCTCAGGATGAGGTTCTGCTTGTTGATCTTCTTCAAGGCGAAGCGCTGCCGCGTCTCCCTGTGCCTCACCAGGTACACGGCCCTAGGAGACAGCAAAACGCTTGCCCTCAACATGTGCTCTCCATCTGTTCACCACCAGCAGCACAGGGTGCAGCGAGGGAGGACTTGGTAGGGGTTTGCAGATGGAGACAAGCATTAGGAACTTCCCAACTCACCCATAAGCGCCGTTGCTGATCAGTTTGATGGTCTCAAAGTCACCCTCGCAGGGCTTCCTCCGAGGAGCGGTGGCTGAAGGCTGGCTCTGAAGAAGACACAGGAGGTTTCTAACGTATCCCAGCACGCTGGCACTCATCCGAGCACCATCAGCTCCTTGCTGCCAGCGGGCATCCCTCCCTGAGCCCTCTCCAGCTATAAACCCCAAGCCAGAAGACCGAGATGCTCTGCATGTCAAGAGTCCACTCAAGAAGCCAGAGGAGGGACTGTGAGGTCTTACACCTGAACACAGCAGCCACCCTTGGGGACAGCCCAAACTAACATCTCCCAGCCCTAGATAGCAGAGGAGCTGCTGCAAGGAGCCTTGGCGTGGGGTGAGGCATGACGAAGCCGGGGGCAGCACATGGGACATGCGGGTAGGACCGTGCTCACCTCACAGGCATCATCGTTCTCTGGCGTGATGGTGTTCCCGCTGTCGAAGTGATCCAGCTGCACCATCTCTGCAGAAGACAGGGATGGTTTTCACCTCCTTCATGCTCAACCCTCACCAAAATAACCCCCCCACCAACCACTCGCTCTCCAAACTCAGGGATCCCACAGGGATTTAGCCATGTGCTTTGCCCGAGCTGGAGGAATTCGGGTGATGGCGTTAAGAGGCTGGATACGAGGTCAAACATTGAGAGAATTTGTTTTGTCCTGGTCATTCCCGTGTCCCTCAGGGATTATGGTTCTCCCCACAAGGCCGTGGCTTCCTATGGATTAAGTGTTCTTGAGCTTAATCTGCTTTGCTGAACGCACTGGGAGCAATAATGAGGGATGTGGGGCTGGCCAGGAGTCTTGGACACCGTCACCCTGGTCCTGCTGGGACCCATCCTACGACACCAGCGCAGCTCTGCTGGTCCCTCTGCCACCTCCCCGTGCTGATTCACGCTCACCAATGGCCCAAACTGGGACCCACACCCCACTGCAGACCTTGGGGCGACCAACCTAAGCACTTCCCTACCCTCCAGTGGGTCCTTGACGAGCCCCAATTGACTGATGATGTATCGGGGGATATCGGTCTTTATTCCCTGGCCAACTTTGGCGTGTCCTTCTGCAGCTTCCAGGAGGTGGTAGAACTCCTCCGGGTCAAACTCCTGGATGGGGAAAACCGCACACGGTTTAGGAGAGAGGCTTTGCAAAGTTAAACCTTTCCTTGAAGCCTTGCGGGGGGCCACCTGTAACTGGGGACAGGCTCTGGATACGTGCAGGAGAAGGCTGAGCACTGCTCCTGTTTCTAGCATCGTTCCCCCATCATTCCCCGTGGAAAGAGTTGATGGCAAAAAAACGTAGCCCCACGGGTTGGCCTTGGAGGGGAACCCAAGGAGACCACACCAGGAGCACGCTTTGCCATGGCTCCTTCCTCCAGCTGCAGGAACCACAACACAAAGGTGAGGTGCAACAGCCAAAGAAACCCCCTTGGAATGGATGATAAAACTTTCCAAGTTCACTTCTCCCTGCTCCACTAGGGAAAACCAGCTTCTCCTCTGTCAGACACAGCTGGAATGCTAGGGCTGGTCTTAGCTCCTTGCTACAGCCTGGCCTGGATGATGAGGAGCAGTTCCCATCGTGGACCAGGCAGGGTGGTGAGAAGATGCCTTGTGCTTCATGGCAAGCCTCCTCTCTTGGTGGAGGGTGATCAGGGGACTCGAGCACCTCCTGTATGGAGAGAGGCTGAGAACACAGGGGCTGTTCAGCCTGGAGAAGAGAAGGCTGCATGGAGACCTCAGAGCAGCTTCCAGTGTCTGAAGGAGGCTACAAGGATGCTGGAGAGGGGCTCTTCATTAGGGACTGTAGTGATAGGACAAGGGGTGATGGGTTCAAACTTAAACGGGGGAAGTTTAGATTGGATATAAGGAGGAAGTTCTTCACTGTCAGGGTGCTGAGGCACTGGAATGGGTTGCCCAGGGAGGTTGTGAATGCTCCATCCCTGGCGGTGTTCAAGGGCAGGATGGACAGAGCCTTGGGTGCCATGGCTTAGTGTGAGGTGTCCCTGCCCATGGCAGGGGTTGGAACTGGATGATCTTAAGGTCCTTTCCAACCCCGACTATTCTCTGATTCCACGACACCAGGACCTGCCATGTCTCACCAGGCACTCCAGGAGGCGCGCAGGACGGGAGATAATGATCAGCAGCTTCCTCACCAGTTGGTCGATGAACTTCACCTCCTCGCTCTCTGAACGCTCCTGAGCCTGCCAGGGAGGAGACCCAAGTCAGGCATCGCTCGGTGGCCTCAGGAGGACATGGGACAGGGAACTGCCCCGTACTCACATCCCGGAGCATCTTCTCAAGCTTCTCCTGCAGCTCCATGAAGTAGCGGGAGGTGATGAGAGCTCCCTGGGACTTTGCCAAGCAGTCACGGGCCAGCTCGATGATTTGGTGGTGGATGAAGCCCAGCACCCCGTCTGCCAGCGGCAGCGTGCTGCTGGGAGAGAAGTTGGTGATGGTGTCCTGCAGACGCTCTTCCATCTGGGCCGTGGCCTGCAAGGCAGAATCAGGCAATGCCAGGTGGGAAGGGGCCTCAAGGATCATCTGGATGGTGCTGCCTGGGAACACACGTCCCCATGCGCGCACTCCGAGCGGTTACCTTGGGGAACCTCTCCTTGTAGACATGGTTCATCATCACCACCTCATTATCAAACATTCCACTCGTCCGTCCAGGGCTGCAGGGGGAGGAAACCAGTTGTGTTATGAGGTCCAAATCATTTACATCTATGCAAATAGCTACTACCCCTGAAGAGTAATTTGTTCCTTCCTTCTAACACCTATCCCAAGTTGTTAAAGCTCATCTGAGTGCAGCCACCACTTCCAGCAGCATCCCTCCCATCCTGCATGGATCTGGTCCAGGGAAGGTGAACCGCCCACAAACCCAGGTCTCCAAACTCAAGCCACTTGCAAATCCAGAGCTGAGAAGCTGGTGCATCAGTCACTTGGCTTTGAAGAATGAGTTCCTCCTTCCCTTCCTCTGGATCCCACCGTTTCTTGCCACCGTTGCCCTTTTTGCAGCTCACCAGCAAAATAAACCCCAACCAACCCGTGGTGGATGCAGGGACCTTCATTAAACACAGCTTCTCTCTTACCCTCACCCGACATTGCCTCTCCCAGGCTCTACTGAGCGAGAAGCTGCAAACCAACTCTTTTGGAACAAACCCCACTTTTTCCAGCTTCAGCCCCAGGAAACCTCGCTCTCAGGTGTTGTCTGCTGCCAGGAGAGAAATGGCACATCCCAACAGCCGAGAGGATGCTGAGAACCAGACCCTAATGCCCAAACTCACAGCGCTTAGGATCACAGAACCATAGATGCTCGTGGAATGGTTTGGGTTAGAAGGGACCTTTGAAGGCCATCTGGGCCAAACCCCATGCAATAAGCAGGGATATCTTCAACTGCATCAGGCTGCTCAGAACCCCGTCCAACCGGACCATGAACACACCCAGGGACGGGGCATCTACACCCTCAAGCCCCATCTTCCCCACTACCCCAGCAAGGCAAAAACCTTGGGATGGGTTTAGCAGGACTGGGACCCGTCAGGAACAGGTCACAGGAGGGCAGAGGATGCTTTGGCTGCGCCATCCCCCTGCCATCACCGTGGGTGCTCCTCGTGGTGGGTGCTGTACCTCAGGCTCCTGGACCGAGGGCGCAGGCAAGGCGAGTGCCGCCCTTCCTCGTCCATGACGCTCTCCGTGCTGCGGAAGTGCTTAGAGAGGAAATGCAGCTCGTCGGGGGTGGGCTGGTACGGCAGCTGGTGCAGGCGCTCCTGGGAGGACGAAGATGACTGGAAAGAGGGAAGAGATGGTGGGGATCAGGAGACGCAGCCTCGCTTCCTGTCAGGGGGTGGAAACCAGCAAGTCTGGCAGGAAAATACCCCTTGGAGCCTCTTAGGAGGCTGGAAATGCTGCCAGGCAACAAGCTCTGTGCTTGGTGATGTGAAATACAGATGGCAAGGCCAGCCCAGGGAGATCTGCACTGCCCGCTCCCATCCCAAACCCCCCAGCTCTCCCAGTCTGGCTCCACTGAGCCCCATCCCTTGTATCTGCAGCATCCCGGATAGCTCCTGTCCTGCCATATCCCTGCGCAGTTGGGATGTGCCCTGTTGCTCTTGACCTGTGCTACATAGGGATGCTGTAACACCCAGAGATGCTGCAATGTCCAGGGATGCTGCAATGCCCAGGGATGCTCTAGTGCTCAGGGATTCTGAAATGCCCAGCGATGTTGTAACAACCAGGGATGCTGAAATGCCCAGCGATGCTGTAACAACCAGGGATGCTGCAATATCCAGGGATGCTGTAATGCCCAGGGATGCTGTGATGCCAGGGATGCTCTACTGCTCAGGGATGCTGAAATGCCCAGCAATGCTGAAACACCCAGGGATGCTGCAATGCCCAGGGATGCTCTAGTGCTCAGGGATGCTGCAATGCCCAGTGATGCTGTAACACCCAGGGATGCTACAATGTCCAGGGATGCTGTAAAGCCCAGGGATGCTCTAGTGCTTAGGGATGCTGTAAGCTGTTAGCCAAGCTCTACAGCTTTCTTTAAAGCCGATTTGGGAAGCAAGCTGCAGCTAAAGCACATGGTCCTCTAGAAAACACAGGGGCTGCCTAGGAACCAACAGGCTTGAGAGGCATTTCACCAAAAATCAAGAGTTTTGGGTTCTTCTTGCCTCTACCATGAGAAAGCAAATGTTACCGAGACAGTGGAGCTGGGGGTGTTGGTCCCATAGCCAGAGGAGGGTAGCGAAGCCAGTGACCACCTTCTGCCATCAGCCCTGTGAGTGCAAACGTGCCCGTCACATACAGGAAAAACCAACAACCTCTAAATGCAAATAAACAATGTCAGAGTGATAAGGATGGGGAAGAGGGTGCAGGTTTGGCTTGAATAATAAAGCCCTGAAACCTCTTTTCGGAATGGCCTGAAATAGGGTGAAATAAGAGGGGTTTGGAGGAAGGGGGGATGCTCTGCAACCCCAGCAGTGAGAGTGAGCAGGGTTCTCGTGGAGGGACAGTGCTGGGGTGGCTGTTTCAGATGGAGAAAAAGACTCCAACAAGTGGCAAGGATCTGATTTAGAGCAAAATCCACCCTGTGGGACATTGTTCTATGAGACATCAGCATTCCTCAGGACCCATCCTGAGACAACAGGCACCGTGGAGCGGAGCCCGGTTATAAACAGGAAGGGAACTGCTCCTACGCAGGCGAATGCTTCCTCTTGGAGATGGTTCTAATGGACGGGGTAACGGCCAGGTCAAGATGAGGTCCTTCACCTCCTGCTGCTGCTTCCCGTGTGGGGCCAAGGACAGCGGGAGCAGGCAGGGTGCTGGGTCCAGCACTGGCACCGCCGTGTATTTGGTGTGAAAACCATCTGGGAGCCTCCGGCCTTTTTCCATGTGAGGATCGATGGGTTAAGTCAGCTGTTCCCCCCCTCCCATGGTGCAATTAATTCATTAGTTAAACAGGATTTCGGCATCTGCCTCTGCAGCAGTGCAGGGTGGGGAGGGGACACAGGAAGATTTGCCTCTAAGGGAACCTGAGCATCCATGGGAGCACGGATGAGCATCCATTGGGAGTGCTCAAAGCAGGTCTGAGCTCATGGCTGGGGTCACTATGGTGGGAGCAGGGATATTTCTGCTCCCAGAGCTGCAGGGAGCCTGGTCTCAGAGCAAAATATCCTGCCCAGGGATGCACACAAAGAAGGGCTGTGCGATGTGGGGCAGATACAACCCCGGAATGGAGCTCCAGCCTATCCCTGGTACCTGTCAGTCCGAGGAGCATGGCTGGAGTGGTCGGAGGCACCGGTGTCAGGGCAGAGCAAACAGCAGCAGACCAAAAACCAGGGAGGAAAAAGGGGACAAAGAATCAGACCAAATCACTTGAGATGAGCAGAACAGCCTCAGCTGGGGGGTTATCATTAACAGTGAAGAATAGAGGTCTGGGAGCGGGGCAGGAGCTCACCTGCGAGCGAAGGGGAAGTTGATGGAGGTGCTGGCAGAGAAGTTGCGTGGACTGTCCAAGGGGCTGCTCCCAGCTATGGGGAGAAAGGGGGAAAAGTCACCCCGGTCCCCCCCCGATGTGATGCCCAGCATGCCAAGGGTGCCCCGTCAGAGGAATGAGTGGGTAAGTCGCTTCCCATGTTATTCCCTCCTGGCAAAGGCACCCATGGGCAGGAGCTGGTAACTCCTGCTGCTGCTGCCAAGGTGCTGCAGAAGCAGCAGTGTTATCCTCCAAAAGAGTCAGGTAAGTTTAGGAGATGCTCAACCCATCCCCTGGGACATTCCTTACCTGTTGGCACAGAGAGCGGGGAGAGGGGCCGTGAGAGGGTCGGAGACGGGGTGCCCACCACCAGGCTCTTCCTATTGCTGCTTCGGCAACTAGGGAAGAAACAAGGGATTAATCTGGGGAAGGAAAGGACGGGCAGGACTGGATGGGCTCGGACATGTAGGAGCTTGTACGTGATGCTTGTGCCAAGGGACACGGCTGCCATCACCCTGTCGATTATGGATCTCCTGCCGCAGGGAAGATCCATCCCCAGGGATGGGCTAAGGGGTTATTTTTAACAACAGAGCGTGTTGTGGAGGTGCCACGTGTGCTTTGGGCTTGTGGGGAGGTTCAGAGGCTGGCAGCCCCGTGTGCAGGAACAGAAAAAGGGATGTAAAAGGAGGAAGTGATGGAAATGCCAAGAGGCCACAGCCTGACCTGCTCCATCATGTGGAAAATGCACATACCCCCCCCCCGCAGTTCCTATAACCCCTTTACACTCAGTGGTCCCCATGTCATAGCAGAGAGGTCAGTTGGTCCCCAACCCCATGAGACTGCAAAGACAGGGCTGAATTTCCTCCCCAGGCTGGGAATGCGAACACAGGTGGATGCTGCTCATTGGAGGACATGGTTTAACTTCACACCACAGCCAGACATACCCACAAAATCAAGAGGATGAACCCGGAGTAAAGGGATTCTCCTCATATCCCAAACCCAGATGTGGTATCTGGGGTGCAAAGGACAGTGCTTTGCAACCCATTGCCCCTCCAGATGGATGCACATGGAGCGGATGCACAGCCACACATGACACACAGCACCCCTTCACCTCCCTCTTGTCCTATCCCTTGTTCTTTGGGGACAGAGCCCAGCCCCTCCTGTCAGGCAGTTGTAGGGAGCAATCAGGTCCCCCCTGAGCCTTCTCTTCTCCAGACTGATCTCCCCCAGGTCCCTCAGCCCTTCCCCATCACCCTTGTGCTCCAGGCCCTGCACCAGCTCCATCGCCCTTCTCTGGCCCCGCTCCAGCACCTCAAGGTCTCTCTTGCAGTGAGGGGCCCAGAGCTGAACACAGGATTCGAGGTGCAGCCTCACCAGTGCTCAGTGCACTGGCCCTGCTGCTGCACTGGTGCTGGTACAGGCCAGGATGCTGGTGGCTTCCTGGCTGCCTGGGCACAGGCTGGCAGAACCCTTCCTCCGCCACCCATCCACCCCATCCCACCCCTGCCCGGCCCCCTCCGTTTGGTTTCTTGCTTCAACGCAGGCTCCTACAGCTGCAAACCCACAGCCCAGCACGGAGCAAGAGCAAACCACAGCCTCTGCTGTGCTGGGTGGGAAATCGAGGCACGGCAAGAGAACCCGCTCCACCGCCCCAGCAGAGCTCTGTGCACCGCGAGCACCCAGCTTTGGCTCCGCTTCCCCATGCCCCTGCTGCAGGGAGCAGGGGGTAGGTACCCGTGCGTGTGTGCGGGAGCATCCCGAGGGATGAGGGGCTTGCTCCTCCTCGCTTGCTTTCATTTTGGGAGCGAAAACAAACCTTGACCGGAGCAAGGGGCAGTAATGGTGACACGGAGCGAGGCGACGTTTCCTGTTTCCGTGCGCTCCACCCTCGGCTCCACAACCGGCTTGCGCCACTTTAACCCCCCCTCTGCCTGATGCAGCAGCTCCAGCTGGTTCCCATCCCTCAGCACGCAGCAACCACGGGCTAGAAACAAGCCTCGGGGCCGGAGGAGAGCTGCTGAGCCCCGGAGGCAGGAGCCTGGGCTGCTGCCCTCTGCCTCCATCACCTACTTGCGTTTTTGGTACCAAACATGGAGTGGAAAATCGCTGTCAGCATCTCCTGCTCAACGCTGAGGCTGCCTCGGCCTCGGCGCTGCCGTTGCCACCCTGCACTGATGTCAAAGGATGTGGGAAGCGTGTGGCAGCCGGCACAACCCCGAAGCCTGGAGCAGAGCAGCCGCGGCACCTGCCTGCGAGGAGCAACCGGCATCTCCCACCACCCTGCCAGCACCCACAGCAGCACCCAGCCTCGGCACGGCACGTGTCCACAGGCAGGAGACAGGGGAAAACGCGGCAGCTTCCTGCAGGCTGCCTCCTCGGAGCTGTGGGAAGGGCAGGATCCGGCTGCACAGCACAGCGCTGCTGTCTCTAACTGGCAAATGGCTCTGCCAGGATCCAGCTGGGAGTCAGCTCTGGGAGGTGCACGGAGGGAGTGCAGCATCCCGCAGGATCCGAACCCCTGCAACCTCCCAGAGCACCGTGTGGCAGATGCCAGCACGGGTGAACCCCAGGCAGAATCCGGGTGTTTGGGGTGAAGTTGGTGCACGGTGGTGGGAGCAGCATGGGCAGGGTCAGGCTGATAAGGGAGCAGGCGCAGTCTCAAAGGGCATCCACTCCCGGCTGCGTGATCAGGAGCACGAGCTGGCATTCCCAGCTCCCTCTGTACATGGCTGTAGACAACTTCTCCCCCCTAAAACTGGCTGCCTGGCGCTCACACACCGGCAGATTTGGGGAAGTGCCATGGATCACCACGTCCTGGAAAAATCGGTTCCCACTGGGAGAAGTTTAACATCGAAACCCATCGAACCCAGCACTACATCCTCAGTTTCTCCATGACATTTCTGCTCTGTGGCTTGTGACACGGCGATGAACTCGGCTGCCTCCAGGGATGGAGGCTGGGATGGGGGATGCTGGGATCCAGGCTCTGCATGGTGAAATGCAACACGCTGCGTTGGCACGAGCTCCCCCCGAGCACCCGGCATCGCTCTGCAGAGCTGCTCTGCTCCCTCACCCCCCCCCCCCCAGCCTGGCACTGCGGTTACACTGATGAACCCCCCCCCAGAGCACCGCGCCAGGCACCTTCCAAGAGCCAAATCCCAAAGGCCCGCAGGGAATCGCGGGGTGACAAGTTGGGAAGAGCCTTTATTTCTTTGCATTGCAGGAAAACAACCTAAAGAAACTGCCCTGCAGGCCGGGGTGCATCCCTGCACGTCCCTGTGGCACAGGTCCCTGTTAGCGGATGGGAAATGGTACCTATCACTTCCCCTGGCATGGTTTTCTATGGTGGGGGCAGCATCCATGCAGAAGAGCCCCATCAGCCGTCGAAGCACTGTTTGTCCTGCCCCGCACTGGCCATCCCTGCATCCCTCCGTGGGGAAATTAGGATCCCTCAGACCTCTTAATCCCACTAAATCACATCATACGTTTCCTGCCTACTGTAAAATAGGCCAGGCTGCTTCTCGCTGTGGATTCTAGGAATACCAAAGACGAGCAAATCCTCTGCCCTTTATGAGAATTACAACCTCATCATGCTCAGCTGGACACAGATGACTGCCTAGATCATCTCTCCCATTACACATCCCTCCCAGACCCCCCCACCCCAGCTTGGAAAGCCTCATCCAAGGCCTTTTCTTATTCATTAAGGGTCCCCAGGCCCATCTTCACCCGTTGGCAGCAGCAATTCCTAGAGCTCAGGTGAAGCCGGGCTGGGAGCGGCGCTGCCTGGATCCATTTGCTAAGCAACCACGGTGCTTTGTGCAGCCCACAGTCATATTAAAAGACATTCACAATGGGAATCTCTCCCCTCTGCCTCCGCGCTGTCTTAAACACCTGATTTCTGTGGAGCTGGGAGAGGGTTTTATGCCTGGGCTGGCTCCAGCACCCCAAACCTGCTGGATGGAGGTGCCAGCTTTCCCAACCCGCACCCCTGGGGCTCTGGGGGTGCTCCGGGGGTGCTCCTTGCACCTTTGCCAGGGCTGGCAGCGCTGCCTGCCCCCTTCCTTGGGGACAAATCCCATCTACGCGCTTAGGTCAAGCCTTGTGTTGCAGCTGGAGAGCTGGGGGAGCCCCTCAAGCACCCTATTTAGGCAGCAGCCCCTGACACTACCCCAGCCCCACTGATGAAGGGTATGTGAGACCTTTGCCCCCCCCCAGCCCTGCCCATGGCTGGCTGCAAGGGACTGGCCTATTCCCACCCCTGGGCACCCCGGGGACCCCCACCCTGGCATGGGACATGTGCAATCAGTGCAGTGCCCACCTCAGCACAGGGGCTCACAGGGGTATTTCCCCCCTTGTGCATGCAATGCCCTCCCCAGACATGCAACGAACCCCAACCGACCCCCCCCCCCAGTCTTAGGTCTGGCACATAGCACCCCAAAACGTGTGTCACCCGATGCCCTGGGACCCTCAACTCTGCACCCCCACAGCACCGGGCTCCCAACCAAAGCACCCTCTGATACATCCACAGCGCACTGCACCCCCCCAAAAAAGGGTGCACAGCCCCCCCCCAACCACACACCTTACTGTGCACCCCCCCTAGTGAAAGGACCCCCACAACCCACACACACCAGTGCACAGCCCCCACTGCACACCTTAGTGTGCACCCCACAATGCAAAGACCCCCCCCAACCCACACACACCGGTGCACAGCCCCCCTTACCTTAATGTGCACCCCACAATGCAAAGACCCCCCCCAACCCACACACACCGGTGCACAGCCCCCCTCACCTTAATGTGCACCCCACAATGCAAAGACCCCCCCAAACCCACACACACCAGTGCACAGCCCCCCTCACCTTAATGTTCACCCCACAATGCAAAGACCCCCCCCAACCCACACACACCAGTGCACAGCTCCCCCACCACACACCTTAATGTGCACCCCCCAGTGCAAAGAGCCCCCCAACCAATACACACCAGTGCACAGCCCCCCAAACCACACACTGCAGTGTGCACCCCACAATGCAAAGACCCCCCACAACCCCCACACACCAGTGCACAGCCTCCCCCCCCCATTCACTCCGGTACCCACCCGCCCATGCACGGTGTCGGGCCCCCCCCCCCAAAACCCGGTGCACCCCCGGTGCAGGGCCCCACCGCCGCCCGGTACCTCTTGGAGCGCTGGAGCAGGGCTCCGGCCGCCCGCTGGCTCCGGTAACCGGGCCGAGCCGCTCCCCAGCAGCTCGGGTCCGACATCGCGGGTGGCTCGGTCCCGCCGGGGCCCGGCCGCATCCACCGGCAGGGCCGAGCGGCGCCGCCGGGGACGCGCGGGGCCGGGACCGCGCCTGGGGCTGGGACCGGGGCTGGGACCGCGACCGGGGCCGGGCTCCCGCCGTCGCCACCGCCCGCTGCCGCCCGCCCCTTCCCGTTACCATGGAGACGGGCAGCGCCCCCAAACGGGGCCGGGATTTCCATGGAGACAGGGGTAGCACCCCCAAAAGGAGGGGAAATGGAAGGGGGGGTTTCCATGGAAACGAGGCAGCGCCCCAGTATGGGGTCGGGGTTAGTGTAGAGACGTGGCTGCACCCCGAAATGGGGTCGGGGTTACCATGGAGATGGAGCACCACCCCAAAAATGGGCTCAGGGTTGCCACAGATGTGGGGCATCACCTCAAAATTGGGGTCGGGGCTAACGCAGAGATGGAGCATCACCCCAAAATGAGCTCAGGGTTGCCACATAGGAGGGGCAGCACCCCAAAATGGGGGCAGGGTTAACATGGAGACAAGGTATCACCCAAAAAGGGGTTCAGAGGGTGGGGCAGCACCCCAAAATAAGGTCAGAATTACTACGGAGATGGGGCATCACCCCAAAATGAGGCTTGAGGTTACCATAGAGACAGGGCAGCATCCCCAAATGGGGTCAGGTTACCATGGAGATGCAGCATCCGATGCTGATGCATTCAAGGGGCATGAATCCCCCCCCTCCAAGTCATCAGGGGTGGCCCAAAGCCTGGGGTTCCCTCGGCAGGGGGGAGTACCCCCCTAACAGCACCCTGCCACCCATGGGACACCATGCTCAGACCCAGCAGCATCCCGCAGTCACTGTCCCACTCCAGCTTTTGCATTTAACGGGGGATATCCTGAGCAAAGACCCAGAGCCATCCATCCTCCTTAGTGCCAGTGACAACACCCTGTGTGGCAGCACTGTCCCCATCCCGAGCCACATAGGGTGGCACTGCCATGCTCACCGGCCAGTGCCACAGCCAGGAACCCTGATGCTCATGGGCTTGGGCAGGGTTTCAGCATGGCAAAAGGACAGCACCGAACACGGCAGCACCACGCTTCCCTTTGCCTTGTGCCGGGCAGCTTCGAGATGCCAGCACGTGGAGGCAGCCAGGGATGCTGCCAGAATGTCTGCCATTATCCTCATCCTCATCCTCGTTCCCATCATGTCCCCACCCCAAGCATCCCCAAAACGCCCCCTCTCCCGAGGCCTCAGCTGAGCAACCGCATGGCCACACATGTTTCCGCACATGCCACAGCCACTGTGGGCAAGGGGTGGCCAGTCAGGGCTAGTGGTGGCAGGGATGGACCCCCATGTGCAGGCAGGGTGCAGGCAGCACCCTGCCTCTTGTCTGCCCGCAGCCAATGGCTCTGCCTGTTGCTGAGCAGCAGCAGAGCTCCCCGATGGTGCCCCATCGCCCAGCAGATGGATGGAGGCACCCAGCAGCACCCATGGGTGCTGGGCAGGCCACAGCTCTGCCCCACAGGTGCCACGGAGCACAGGGCCAGGGTGTGACTGTGGGGTGCCAGCACACCCGCTGCACCTTGTCCCCAAGGCATAGCACAGCCAGCACACGCAGCAGGGTCCAGCCACCCGCCTCTGTGACAGCAGCACCCATCAGGGCACTGCAAGGGGCTGGTGCCATTTGGGGGGGAGAACACCCATCCCACAGAACAGCCCCCCCTCCTCTTCCCCCATGGGGGAGCAGAAAAGGTGGCGATGGAGGTTTCCCAGGGGTGAAGGTACAATCCCCCGCTCTCACCCTGCTCCCATCACAGTGCCCATCCCTGATCCTATTTCGAGGTGATCCCTCCTCAAAACAAGGATGCTCAGTGCCAAAGCTTGTGCTACAGTGATGGTGTTCCCAGTGGGGTTCCCCAAAGCGGGAGCTGGCTGCAGAGATGGGGCCCACCAGCATGGCCAGAACACTTTTGGGGTGCACAGGGCTGGGGACAGACCATAGCCATGTTGCCCCAAGTGCCCTGCAGAAGACAGCACCACTTCTGAGGACCCTCAGGGCACGGCAGGTGGGGGGGGGACCCACCTTGCAGCCCCCAACTCCACCTCTACCTACTCTGTTCCCCAGAGCTGGCAGCTGCGGTGTCCAGGGAGGGTTTGGGGGGGGTCTTACCTCCAGGGGTGCAGGGTTAATAAGGGGCTGCAGGGGCTGCAGGGGCTGCAGGGGCTCAGCAGCGTCGGGCTCTGGCTGCTCGGTGACAAGCTGCAAGGCAAGACGTGCCGGTGCGGTGTCAGCGGGTGCCGTGGGCACCCCGGTGGCACAGTCAGAGCCCCCTCGGGAGGGCTGGGGTGGGGGACGACGGGGCCAGGGGCAAAGAGTAGAGGGGACAAGGGCTGGAGGGGGGGACCAGGGCTGGGGGGCCCAGGCAGGGTGGGGAGGAGGGCGGGGAGCACAGGGGACTGCGTGGACGCTGCGGGATCTAAGGCTGCTGGAGAGACAGCGGGTGGTCTGGTCCTGCCGGGGCACGGAGGATGCTCCCGGTGGGGTCCGGGGCTGTGGATGCAGGAGGAAGGGCTGGGCCCAGCGGCGCGGGGGTGCGGGTACAGCGGGATGGACCGGGATGAGGATGCTCCGAGATGGGGGTGCTCCGGGTCGGGGGATGCAACAGGACGGGGATGCCCCGGGGCGCTGCCGCCCGTAGCCCGCTCCCGGTACCGGCGAGCCCCGCCCCGGCTCCGACTCACTCCAAGGTCAGCGAGGGGATCTTCAACCTGTCCCGCCGCGACTTCATGACGCCGCCGCCGCCGCCCCGCTCCGCTCCCGCCGCACCGGCTGCCCCCGCGCTGGGCGGCTCCCGAGGGCGGGCGGCGGCGGCGGCGGCCCCGGCGGGGATCCCTGCTCGGCCCGACGGGCCCGGGCCCGCCCCTGCGGCTCGGCTCGGCTCGGCAGCCCCCACACCCGCGGTGCACACGATCAGGTCCGTACCGTGCCCGGGATGCGCTGCTGGTGCTCAGACACCGCAGCCCCAGCACAGCTTCCAGTACAGCCCCAGTGCATCCCACAGGGCCCCAGCATGGCTCCAGTGAACCCCTAATGCAGCCCCAGTGCATCCCACAGAGCCCCAGTACGGCTTCAGTGAACCCCTAATGCAGCCCCAGTGCATCCCACAGGGCCCCAGCATGGCTCCAGTGAACCCCTAATGCAGCCCCAGTGCATCCCACAGAGCCCCAGTACGGCTTCAGTGAACCCCTAGTGCAGCCCCAGTGCATCCCATAGGGCCCCAGTATGGCTCCAGTGAACCCCTAATGCAGCCCCAGTGCATCCCACAGGGCCCCAGTATGGCTCCAGTGAACCCCTAATGCAGCCCCAGTGCATCCCACAGAGCCCCAGTATGGCTCCAGTGAACCCCTAATGCAGCCCCAGTGCATCCCACAGGGCCCCAGTACGGCTTCAGAGAACCCCTAGTGCAGCCCCAGTGCATCCCATAGGGCCCCAGTATGGCTCCAGTGAACCCCTAATGCAGCCCCAGTGCATCCCACAGGGCCCCAGCATGGCTCCAGTGAACCCCTAATGCAGCCCCAGTGCATCCCACAGGGCCCCAGCATGGCTCCAGTGAGCCCCTAATGCAGCCCCAGTGCATCCCACAGGGCCCCAGTATGGCTCCAGTGAACCCCTAATGCAGCCCCAGTGCATCCCACAGAGCCCCAGTATAGCTTCAGTGAGCCCCTAATGCAGCCCCAGTGCATCCCACAGGGCCCCAGTATGGCTCCAGTGAACCCCTAATGCAGCCCCAGTGCATCCCACAGAGCCCCAGTATGGCTCCAGTGAACCCCTAATGCAGCCCCAGTGCATCCCACAGAGCCCCAGTATTGCTCCAGTGAACCCCTAATGCAGCCCCAGTGCATCCCACAGAGCCCCAGTATTGCTCCAGTGAACCCCTAATGCAGCCCCAGTGCATCCCACAGAGCCCCAGTATGGCTTCAGTGAGCCCCTAATGCAGCCCCAGTGCATCCCACAGGGCCCCAGTATGGCTCCAGTGAACCCCTAATGCAGCCCCAGTGCATCCCACAGAGCCCCAGTATGGTTTCAGTGAACCCCTAATGCAGCCCCAGTGCATCCCACAGAGCCCCAGTATTGCTCCAGTGATCCCCTAGTGCAGCCCCAGCACAGTTTCCAGTATTGCCCCAGTATGGCTCCAGTGAACCCCTAATGCAGCCCCAGCATGTCCCTAGCATCCCTCTGGCGCCCTCCCAAGCATGTCCCCCAGCACGCAGCCCTGTAACCCCTGACAACACCAGCCCAGTGCCAAGAACCCCTCCTGCCTTTCCTCCGCAACACCCCAAAACCACCCTGGAACAGCCCCAGTACCCCCAAACACACGCCAACAGCCCACCCCAGTACAGCTTCACAACTGCCCCCTACTACAGCCCAGCACCCCTGCAGCGGAGCACCAGTACATCCCAGTGCACCGCAGCGCACACACAGCTGGGCCCATCCAGTATCAGAGAACACGGTGATGCCACCCCGGATTTGGGCACAAGAAGCATGTGAGACCCATCCCCGCTGCCCCCCATGGTGCTGGTGCCTTGTTCCATGCCCCCCCCCCCCCCTCCAGTGACCCCCATCCCGGGCAGCTGAGCTCGGGGACTTACGCTCTTCCTCGGCGCGGCAGGCTCAGCTCCTTCTGCAACGAGAACAGGGAGAAGCAGGGTGAGAGCATGGCCCCATGGTGCCCACACCTGGGACCCCCACCTCCTGCCAACCCCCTGGCAGCATCCCCACTGCCTGGCACTGCAGGATCGGGCCCCATTCCCTGTGCCCCAGCTCTGCTGTGCTGGGTGAGGGTTACAAACCACTCTGCCCAGCATTAACACAAGGGGAAACCTCCTTCCAAAGGCCCCGGGGCTGGTGGTCCCATAGCCAGGCCTGGGACTGAGGGCACAAGGGTGGTGGAGAGGCTGCAGCACCCAACTGCGTGGCTGCATTGTGGTATCGGCGTGATGGCTGTGCCCTGTCCCCCACCCTGTCCCCCCAGCCCTGGGTGTGGGGAGCAGCTGGGTGTCCCCACGCTGTTTATTTTTCCAGCCACTGGGAATATTTCTTGCAAGGGCTGTTTGCTTGCAGGCACAGGGCAAAGGGCAGCTGTGCAAGCAGGAATTCCATCCCACAGCATCCTCTCGGTGTGGCAGACACTGGCTGGCTGTGGCACAGACCCAGTGCCCACCTGTGTGCCATACAGAGTGGCACAGACCCCACGGGCACAGTGTGAGGGGCCGGTTGTGCCCTGGCATGCCGCAGGATGCTGGCACATGGGGTGGGTGCATGTGGTGGTTAATATCCCATCATCACCCTGATCCCGCACCCACCGCCGGTGCCCACCTGCCCGGCACCCCTAAGCAGCTTAGACACATTCCTGACACGGGCAAGAGCTCCTCATATGGGGACAGACGGCAGCACCCACACTGCCCCTGAGCACCCGTGCCCCATCCCAGTGCCCACGCCACGCAGCCCCTGCGGAAATCCCGGGATTGGGGAGCGCTGCAACGCAGTGATGCAGCAGCATCGCCATGGCAACCGGTGACATCATGCCTGGGTGCACAGGGACTCCGCATTCCCCGAGCCCACGGGTGTCTGTGTGCCCCGGGATGGCGAGGGTGGGTGCTGGGGGTAGGTGCTGGGGGCGGGTGCTGGAGGCAGGGGTGAGTGCAGGAAGTGGGTGCCTGCGTCTCAGTGCACCCAGCAGCACTGGGTGACCCCAGAGCTGGGCTGGGGAAGGGGGTGCAGGGTCCCTGCATGGAGCAAGCCCCCCCCCACCCCAGCACCCTCACCCAGCTCTGCTGTCACCCACCCTGATCCTCACCCACACCCGGGGCCACCAGACCCGGGGCAGAGAAGGGTCCCACTGAGGTATTTACTGCTCAGCCATGTGCAGATGGGACAGTGGCACTGAGGACAGACACCCTTGTCCCCCACACTCCACAACACTGCCTCCCCATTCATCTATGGGTGCAGGAGTGCAGAGTGGTCCTGTGGCACCCAACACCCATCACTGCCATGGGCTCTCCGGCCATGCTGCATGCTCAGGGACAGGCAGAGCATCACCCGAGAGCCCTGGGAAGGATCCTTGAGGGGCAGCACCACAGGGCCAGCACCCACGATGTGCCTGATGTGCTCATCCAGCACAGCACAGCTCCCATCAGCACGTCCCGGAGGGAGCCAGGATTAAGCATCAGCTGATCCCTGCGGGGATAGCACTGGGGACGGTGTCACTGCTCGGTGCTTTGGGATCAGCTCCCTGGTGGGAGCCCCTTCTCACCCCTCATGGGGATGTGGGCATGCGGCTGGGGCCCACGGCTCTGTTCTCAATGGGGAATGCCAGGAACAACACCCACAGCCAAGAGCCCCGGAGCCCATGGTCATGCCTGCATCCACAGCTCCCACGCAGCTCCTTCCCGGGCTGAGCGTGCAGCGGAGCGCGCCTGCCCCGTGGAACTGCCAGCTTGGATGAAGGCAGCACCGTGCATCCTCCAACCGCCCAGGCAGCTCAGGCCAGGCCCCCGTTACTGCGGCTCCGCTCCGCAGATGGGGCTGGAGGCGTGAGGCCACCCAGAAAATTGGGCTCTGTGTGCTGGGGGGGGGGGCTGTGGTTGTCACCCCTCTAAGCACAGGGTAGGCGAAGACGATACCCTTGGCCTGCCAGAACACGGGGTGATGGAAGGGGAAGCTCTTTGGAGGGGTAAATCAGTGCTGGCACAGCAGTTTGGCACAGACCAGCATCGTGCGCTGGGCTGGAGGGACCATGGTGCGCTCATGGGAGCCCCCAGCCCCTGCACAAGTGGGTGCAGCCACTCCAGCACCCCACAGCGTGTGGCTGGGGCTCATACCCTGCCCTGCTCTTGCCACTGGGTGCTCAGCTCCTGTGCCCCCATCACACGCTGCTCACACACGGCACCCACCTCTCAGGGGCACCCAACCCAGAGCACCCCACTCCTACACACAGCACCCAATTCTAGCACACGCACACCCGCAGGGCACCCAACTCCCACTCGCATCACCCACTTCTCACACACAAGCGGAGCACCCATCCCTCACCCCCAGCACCCACCTCTTGCACCCGCAGCACCCTTCTCACACGCACCCGCGGCACCCACCTCGCACCCGCGGCACCCACCTCACCGCAGCTGCGCTCCCCCCGGACCCGCTGCCCGTGCCCGCTGCCGGGAGGCTCCTCCCCGCTCCCCGGTGCTCACCTGGAGGCCCCGGCGCCGCAGGATGCTGGGCTCGTCCATCCCGCCGCCGCCGCCTCCCGCAGCGCCCGCTCCGCCCGGGGCGCCGCCCAGCGGCCCCGCCGCGTCACCGGACGCGCATCAGCACCGAGCCCGGGGCTGGCACAGCGCGGCGGAGGCTGCCGTGGCCCCGCGCAGGACAGCGCGGATGGGGCTGGCACAGCCCTGTTGGATGGGTCCAGCCCAGCACGGGGCTGGCACGGCACAGCGTGGCACAGCACGGGGCTGGCGCAGGCTGCCTGGCTCAGTGCGGCATGGCACGGCCTGGGACTGACACAAGAAGAGCCACCCTGGCTCGGTGCGGTCCAGCCCTGGTCTGTGCTATGGCTGGTATGGCACAGCGCAGTCCTTACAGCCTAGCAGTGCCCAGCGCAGCCCTGCTTGGCATGGCATGGTCCTGCATGGCCCAGCCTGGCACGGCATGCTACATACAGCGTGCTATGGCCCAGCCAGCCCAGCCCAGCCCTGCTGTGTGTTGCAGCATGGCACAGGCTGGCATGGCTTGGTTTGGCATGGCACAGCTTGGCTGTACCCCCACCTGGGCACACAGGAGGTGCCAGGGGACCTCCTGTACCCTCACCCCGGCCGTGCAGTGCGATGGAGGGGTCCCAGCAGCACTGTCCCGGTGCAGGGATGTTCCGGCCGTGGCTGCCCCGAGCGAAAGCCACACAAGGGGACACTCTCTGTGGGAACAAGGGGACTCTGTGCGCGGCCCTCGGTGCCACCCGGCTCCAGCATCGCGGGGTCACCCGTCCCATCACGCGGCTGCCAGCGCTGTCCCAGTGACAACACGTTCCTCACTGGGGCTTTTGTTTGTGCCTGCAGGGGACAAGTTGTGCCGGGGATGGGCACAGGAGCCCGGTGCTGGCGTGGGTGCGCAGTCACACTGCTGCGAACCCCACACCCCAACCTTGGAGCAGCCACTCGAGACCCACTCGGGCAGGGGATCAAAAACATGGCAAAGAATAAAGCACACCCCCCCCACCCCCCCCAAAACCCCAAGACATCTTTGCTTACCTTGCGGTTCTCACAGGCTGGGGCACGTGGCGTGCCCAGGGCACGCGGTGCAGCCAGGGCAGGGTTGGGCTGAGTCCTGCCGGCAGAAAAGGGGGATATTTCGGGTGCTTTCTCTTTTGCTTTTGGTCAAAGTGAGACCTGCAGCCGTGCCTCGCGCTCTGCCCTGCATGCGAACAGCAGCCCTCTGGCAAAGCCGCTACCAGAAGAGGAAACACCGGGTGCGTGCTGAGCCGTGGGGAGCACCCACTGGGTGCCAGGGGAGCAGGGAGCCAGGAAGGGCTTCAGAGCCCCGGATCCGGCGTGGGACAGCCCAGGCGGCTGATACTGAGGTGGCCGATGCTGGGGTGGCTGCTGGTGGCACTGGTGGCGGGCGGTAAGTGCTGCTGTGGGAGGTGGGAGATGGGAGATAACTGCAGAAGACTTTCAATGAATGATTCAGGGGTGATAAGGGCCGCGGGAGGGTGGAAATGGGGTTTTGGGGGTGGGAATCATCGCTGGGTGAGCAATGTGGTGCTCAGGCAATGACCACACTGCTGCTCCATCCCAGCCTTGCCCGACCCGCTGGCATCCAGGAGCCTCCAGCCCCTGCCCTCTCCCGCAGGCACCACTGCGGTCCCCGGCCTCTCCTGCTGGAAGCGATGTGGCTTCCGCTGGTTCCTCTGCTCCTGGCCACCCCTCGGCCCTGACGGCAACACCTCCTATGTCCTGACACTCTGGTGAGCGGCCACCGCATGCTGGGGGGCCCACAGGATGTGTCCTGACAGTGACACGTGGGGACGTGTGCCATCCACGTCCCAAACCCATCCACACTCAACCTTGCGCCCACTCCATCGCCAGCTACACAATGCCCCGGCGGTGCCAGCGGTTCCAGGCTGGCACAAAGACAACGCACACCCTGAAGCATCACCACATCTACGTCCTCACCAACACCACAGCCTGGGTGGAGGCGCACTGGGGGGACCACATCCACAGGACCCCCAACCGCACGCTGTACTTCAACGAGGCCGGTAAGCACCCGCGGGGCTGGGCTGGGTGGCCGGTGCCAGTGCCGGTGCCCACGAGCCCACCTCATCTTTGCAGTCAAACCAGATCCGCCCTCCACTGGGATGCCCTTCACCAAAACCAGCAACCGGCTCCGGCTGCGGGTGCCGCGGCCACTGTGCCACAGCGGGAGCCGGCTGCCGCAGCGCGAGGCTCGATTCCGGAGGGTGGGAGCCCATGGCTGGACGCAGGTAAAACTGTGATTGCCAGAGCCGGTGGTGACCGATGGCACAACCAGAGCATTGCAGCAGCTCAGGCAGCCCAGGGAGCGTGGGGGCTTGGTCACGCCACTGTTGTGTTGTGTCGTCCCCCCCCTCCCCGAAACCTGGCCATGTCCCATCTGTTTCGCTGCGTTATCAGCTCTGCCCCATCCTCCCGGCCACAGGATCCTGCTGCTGTAACAGGATCAGGCTGCGATCCGTGGGGGATTACACAGCAAAACCCCAGATTATAGCAATGATGACGACAGATGAAATCTGGACACTTGTCCCCAGGGAACCCCCTCTGAGGATCCCCTGTCCTTGTTGATTGCTGTCGGGAGGGTCATAGGGATGAAGGCCTCGTGCCCTGGCTGAGGGGACCCTCCTTGATCACCACATCCTCTGCATCCCATTTGGCTCTCCCAGCCCCTGGGATGTTCAGGGGACACAGGGCAGCCCTGATTTCACATCCCAGAACCATCCTGGTTTTGCTGGGTGCCTCCATTCCTGGCTCTCTCTGCAGGTGATGTGTGAGACAGGGACAGACGAGGATGACTCAGGTCGGTTTAGCAGAGACAAGCACCTGCCCTGTGCTCTGCCTGCAGCCCCCCAGCACCCCACAATGGCCAAACTGGGGGGTGGGGGGGGGGCGGGTAGGAGAAGGGGGTCACCCCCACCTTGACCCTGTTATCCCACTCCAGTGACCTGCACCCTTGGGGGGGACGGCGCCTTCGAGGTCCAGCTCCGGCACAAGCTCCCCCACTGGAGCAGCTACTGGAGCGACTGGAGCAGCTCCATCTTCGTTCCCGCAGGTGAGGAAGGGCAGAGGAGGCAGGTGGGATCCCGACGGCTCCCAAACCCAACCAGGCTGGTTCCTCTTGCAGAAATCCTGGAGAGCCCGGTGCTGAGCTACCAGCTGGGAAACCTGGGAAGAGACGGGCAGCGGGTGCTGAGGCTGAGCTGGCAGGTACGGTGACGTCCCCTGCGGTCCCCTCTGCCTGTCCCCACACCGTTTCATCACTTCTCCTTCCCGCAGCGAGCCCCAGAGGAGCAAGGGGACGTCACCTACACTGTGCGTGCCCACATGCTGGCGTGCCGCTGCGCCAGGCTGCCCGAGGAGGATGCTGTGGTCCTTGGGAGGGATGTGACAAGGCACAACCTCACCCTGTCCGGGGCTGAGTATGAAATCCTGCTGACCGCAGCCAACGCAGCCGGGCCAGGGCCAGCACGGCAGCTCTGTGTGCCCGCAGAGCAGCAGCCAGGTACCGGCCCCACACAGGGACCCAGCTCCCGGCAGCATCCAGGGAGTGATTTTCCCTCACACCCTGCGTTGCATCCCAGATCTTGGCTTCAAGGATGTCAGCGTGACCGGTGGCACCATGACCGCGCGGTGGGAAGCACCGAGCCCCGGCTCTTTCTACTGCTTCGAGCAGCAGCCGCTGCCAGGAGCCCCCAAACCGGGCATCTGCATCAAACGGGATTTTCCTGCCAAAAGCATCCACGTGGAGAGAGGCAAGGGAGTGCCCCAAGCGCCCCCCCACACCCATCCCCACTGCCCGGGGCTGGATCCTGGTGAGGGTTTAACCGGCATTCCCGGTTCCTGCCCCAGGAGCACTGGAAGTGCAGACCTGTCACCGCCTCGCTGTGCATGGCTGGGCCCCGGCACGGGGCTGGGCCACCTTCGCCCTGCAGCACCACTATCCCAGCAACAGTACGTATGGGAACACACAGCATCCGTAACGATGGGGGGTCCCAAAGTGCTCCCCCATTTATTTGCACCCCCCCTTCCCACCATTGTGTGCAGCCTCACTGGCCGTGCCCATCCGCATCAACGCCAGCGCCGAGGATGCTGCCATCACTCTCCGCTGGAGCCTGTCCCCCCGTGCCACGTGTCCTGGGGTGTTGGCCAAGTACCTCATCTGCCACGCGGCTGAGGGGGACAACGTGACCTGTGAGTGGGACCCCCAGACCCATGGGGCTGGAGGGGGCTCTGCTTGCACCCTGCACACTTACTCCCCGCTCACCATCGCTCACTCAGACGGTGAAGCAGACGTCACAGCATCACACTACACCCTCCGGCACCTACAGCCCGGCACAGCCTACAGGGTGAGCGTTCAGGAGGTGACAGCAGAGAGCAAAGGGACCTGTGGTGTTTGGTGGCACTTCCAGACCAAGGCACTGGGTAATGACTGGAGGCCCTGTCCCCTCCCCAGTCCCTGTGGGGTGCTCACCCTCATCCTGAAACAGCTCCTGTGTCCCATGCAGGGTGATGGGGACAGAAATGCCACCACCCCGCTGTCCTCACCTCCAGGTCCCCAGAGAGCAGCGTGGAAATCCAACCTGAAGTACTTGGGCATCTCGCTCAGTGTCCCCGCCGTGGCTGCCATCTACCAGCTGAACAAGAAGAGGTGACAGCGGCACCCTCACCCCCACCCCGCTCAGGTCACCCGCCTGCCCATCTCCCCCATTACCCACCCCATCACCCACCCTCCCCTCCCCAGGGCTCGGCGCCTCCTCTTCCCACCCCTGCCCAAGCCCGCGGGCAGCAAAGCCATCCAGTTCTGCACCAGTGAAACAAGCCAGGTGAGATGCAAGGTGCAGGAGAGCCCGGATCCTGCACCCCAGCAGGCTCCTGGTGTGCCACGTTCCCACTCCAAACATATCCCACCCTTAGGGCCAGCCCTGGCCAGGCTTTGTGGAGCCCTCGGAGAGGTTCAGCCCGGCTGAGCTGCTGCTGACAGAGCTGAACCCCAGCAAGGAGGGCCCTGATGGCAGCACAGAGCCCAGTGAGCCACAGCCTGGCCCCGTGGCCGAGGAACCGGTGG